GGATAGGCGTAGAGGTTTTTGGCGAACTTCGTACATATTGGAGTTCGCCAGAATTCAAGGCCAAATCCGAAAATTTTAAGAAGATGAGGGCATCCGAAAAGGGGGGATGTGTCAATACTGTTGGAAGTATTAGCACTGCAGAGCATGTCCGGCGGATGGTAAATATTACTAATTTTTTAAGTTATATATATTGTTATTCATAATATTTTTTATTAATTATTTTTAACTTTATTGTTTAGACTAAGGAGATGGGGAGACCACCATTGATCATTGAGTTGATTACGAGGACTCGGACAAAAAAATCGGGAGGTTTTGTCGACGACCGCACCCAGAAAGCTTTTGTAAGTAATTAAACTTATGTTTTTTTTAAGTTAATAACAAAAATAGTGACGTTATTTCCACGTGGCAATCTATAAGTTGTGGCGTGATTATCATGTGGCAACTGATAAATTGCCAGGTGACTGATTTTCATATGGCAACTGATACATTGCCACGGGAAACTCACGTGGCAATTCATAAGTTGATTTGTGAAAATCACGTGACAAATTTTTAATATATTTGAATTTAGTATAATTTAATATATAAATGTTTTAATTTTTTTTTAATTGTATTATTTAATGTATGTGTAGGATGATTATCAGACATTGCTAGCACGTTTTCTGGAACACAATCCGCAATATAGGCCAGCAGAGGGGGAGCCGCTTAATGGGGATGTTGATTTCTATATTTGGAATGAGGTTGTTAATGGAAAAGGGCCTAATGGTTGCTTTTTTGCGGGAGGAAATTTGGCCGCCGGCTTGAGAGTTGGTGATCGTAATCTGTTTCAAAGACTTAGAGATGGAGAAGGGGGGTCACGTCAACCCAATCTGACTCAGGTTCAACTTGAAACAGTACGACAATTGGCGGCCAGTGAAGTGAGACGCGAAATGGAGGCCCAAATGACGACAATGAGGCAAGAGCAGGAGCGTCAGTTAGAGATCATGCGGAAGCGGCAATCTGATATGGAGGAGCAGATGAGACAGTTTATGCAAGGCGGTCGAAATCAAAATGTTCCTGATCATACACAGCCGGATGATGACGGACTTGATGACTTTGATCTTGATAATTTTCCGGGTGAAGATGCCCCGTGAAAACATTTTTTTTATTTCGTTTTTATATTTGCATTTATGTAAGATATTTATTTTTATCATTTTAAATTAATAAATTATATAACATTTAATTATGTGAATTTATTTTATAAAATTCTATTATTCGAAATATAAAATAAAATACTATTATTCTAATAATTTTAATATATAAATTTTATTATATAAAATTTATTATATAAATTTTAATATATAAATTTTATTATATAAATTTTATTATTTAAATTTTATTATATAAAATTTATTATTTAAATTTTATTACATTAATGAATTAATATAAAAAATAATTATTAACAATTTTTAAAAAAATAAAAACGTCCCCTGTAGCGACGTGGGAATCATGTCACAAATTAGTGACATGACTCTCACGTCGCTAATAAAGCTGCCATTAACAAATATGTAGCGACGTGAATACCACGTCACAACTTTGTGACGTGGGAATCACGTCGCTACTTGCTTGCCACTTACTCCCCAGCGACATAACTCACCACGTCGCTAATTTTGCTTTGCCACGTGATTTTGATGTTTGCCACGTGATTTTCACGTGGCAACTAAGCTTCTTTTTTGTAGTGGCCAATATCTCCAATGTTGGACCACGATGAGGCCCAATAATGAAAACTGTCAGGGTTTGCGTGTGTATGAAGTCCATCACGTGGACTTCTCCTTGGTCAACTGTTCCGGGAAAATAAGTGTTGGACCCGTGATTTCTAGAGGACAATTACGATAACAATGACACAGACACGTGGATCACGTCCCCAGCAGATACGCAGGGAATTGTCCAACGATCCTCAATTTGGGCAGCTTATCTTTAAACCTTATACAAGAGTGTTGGATTGGACTTTCCCAATAGTAGAACAAGCACGGATCCAATTCAGATCAAATCTCAAAAATTAAAATTTTTAACTTTAAATAATATCAATTCTAAAAAATAAAGATAACTCTACTCAAGAGTATACAAACATGTTAGAATCAATTCTGCATTTTAAAAATAAATTCTAAATACTCAAAACTTCAAACCATACATATACTAAATCTATTATATTTGTCGAATATTAAATTTTTGTACACTTTTTTTTAGTACTATTGAATATAATTCTAAAGTTCTAGCTTAAATTTAAACAAATGTATTACTTAAATAATTTCATAAGAAAAAAATGTATGTATGCTAAATTCAACCATATAACTTAACATTATTTATTCTTGGATTAAAAAATGAGGCATCCTCGTGTCGGTGAAAAATCATGCGAAATTGTTATGACAGATAAATAATAGATAATGAGAGAGCCATAGTTTAATATAAATGATTCACTTTTGTTATTTCTGGTTTGTCATATTTGACCAAGTCTTCATCTTTTTTCCAAACTCAAAAAGGCCATTGAAGAAAAACAAAAAATAAAACCATGTTGAAATGATAAGATTCTCCGAATCTTGAATATCAACGTGGTTTTAAATTTTAATCAAGAACATCTATAACAGATATTTTTTATGAGGTTTATTGAAATTTTACAAGGTTGTTTGTTCTAGCATTGGATTATAGAACAAACATTTGCATGCTGCATGCATGCACATTATGGATTTGGAAAGGTTAAGGTTTTGTAAATTTGAGGTTCCTTTATAATATTAAGGTTTGTTTAAGGTTCGTGGAAAATGAGTTGTTTTCCATGTTGTGCTTCACAAGAGAGAATCAACAAAAGATCATTGAAGAAGAGTATTAAGGAATACCATGAAGCAAAAACTTTAACCTCGTTTGCAAATATCTCTTTTAAAACTGGTAAGTTAATCTCTAAATTTCATTGTTTTTGTTAATTTGGTTCATAAGTTTCATAAAATTTGATTTGATTCATAGGTTTCATAACTTTATATTGTAGATAGTGGCAAGAGAAGGTTCATAGCAGATGAGATAGCAAAGCTTGGAAAAGGAAATGTTACCTCGAAGGTATTTTCGTATCGCGATCTATGCAACGCGACTCAGAATTTTCATCCCCCGAATATGATTGGAGAAGGAGGTTTTGGAAGAGTATACAAAGGAAAGATTAAAAGCACAAATCAGGTATTACTTCAACGGAGTTGTCTTTGTAATACTTTGTTATTCGAAAAAGCCTAAACTCTAAATAAGTGCTTTTTTACGTTACAGGTTGTTGCGGTGAAGCAACTTGACAGAAATGGATTTCAAGGGAACAGAGAATTTCTTGTAGAGGTTTTGATTTTGAGTCTTTTGCATCATCAAAATCTCGTGAATTTAGTAGGTTATTGCGCCGAAGGTGACCAGAGGATTTTGGTATATGAGTATATGGAACATGGTTCCTTAGAAGATCACTTGCTTGGTAAGTAATTGTTCTTCTTAATAAGTGCTTCTTAATTGACATATAAGTGATTCCTGTAAGAACAATTTGAAGGATCATATCATGTCATTATGTGATAATGAGAACAAATTTATTTCATCTGACCAATAACAAATGGTTATCAGATATAACTCCAGACAGAAAACCGTTGGACTGGAAAACTAGAATGAAGATTGCAGAAGGAGCGGCAAAAGGGCTTGAATATCTACACGAGGAAGCGAATCCTCCCGTGATATACCGCGATTTCAAAGCATCAAACATTTTATTAGATGAAAGCTACAATCCAAAGCTTTCAGACTTTGGACTTGCAAAACTCGGCCCGATTGGTGATAAGACACATGTATCCACCAGAGTGATGGGAACTTATGGCTATTGTGCTCCAGAGTATGCATCAACTGGACAGTTAAGTACAAAATCGGATGTGTATAGTTTTGGAGTTGTGTTCTTGGAGATTATCACGGGAAGGAGAGTCATCGACAATTCAAGACCGTCGGAAGAACAAAATTTAGTCATTTGGGTATGTTCTCAAACCTCATTGAAATAAAGTGTTGAGATGAAAGTTACTACCATATAAACGATACCAAATTTTATGCTAATGTAACATTATTCACTATGTAATTTATGTTTCTTCTTCTTTTTTTTTAGGCACAACCTCTTCTAAGAGATAGAAATAAGTTCACAAAAATGGCAGATCCATTGCTAGGAGATAACTACCCTACAAAAGGTCTATATCAAGCTCTAGCTGTTGCAGCAATGTGTCTTCAAGAGGAAGCTGATACGCGGCCGTTAATCAGCGATGTAGTTACCGCTCTTGAATTTCTAGCAAACAAGATAGATGGGGATGGAGAAAAAGCTACAAAACAGACTTTTGCTTCTCAAGGTGGAAATCATGAATCAAAACTTGTAAATATTGATGAAGACGACGATGAGGATGGTAATGACGACGATGATGATGATGATGATGAAGATGAGGATGACGACGAGGATGGTGATGACGATGACGAAGAGGATGAGGATGGTGACGATGATAATGATGATGAGAAGGTTCATAGAAGATTTAGTGAATGAAATTTGTTTTGCAAATTCATAGCACATTGAAGCTTCAATCCTAATAACATGCCATTCAATTTTATGAATATGGTTTGTGTTAAGATATGAAGCATGCCAACAATTAGCTTAAATCTGTTAAGAAAATTGTACTCATTCTTGCATCAAGTTCTGTAATCAAAAGATCATATCTGAACTCAATATTTGTCTTCATTAATTTAAGAGAGTTTCTAGAGTATAGCTCATGAATCAAAAGGTTTCAACTTTCATTCTTATAAAACAATCTTATGAATAAAACAGAAGAACAAAGTGCCAACATTAATATCCTAAAATTTTATCTCATTTGGTCTTGTTTTTTAATTAACATTCTTTAATTAATTCTACTAAGTTGTCAAGGTAAAGCTCAAAATCAAAACCTCTTCAATAAATTCCATGTTCCCTTGAAATCAGCTTCTGTCAAATTGCTTCACACCAGGAACCTGCAATGTATGTAACAAAGCACTTACTTAGGATGATGTTACTTACAAATCAACCTTAATGAATAGGATTTTTTCGTTAACATAGTATTGAAAAGAGGATTCGGTTGAAGTAATACTTGACTTGTGTTTTTAACCCTTCCTTTTAGGCACTGCATTACCTTCCCTGCTTTTTCTGAAGGCAGAAAAAGACATAGCAAAGCTCAGAACAAGGAAATACGTAATTTGCTATTATTACTGGCAGCTCTTCCTCTTTACTGCAGTCTATCATCACCAAGCTTAATGTTTCCTTTTCTCTCAAGCATTTGGGTGATCTGGACTACTTTCTTGGTATTCAAGTCACCAAGACTGCTTCTCAATCTTTGCTTCTCACACAGTCCAAATACATCAAAGACTTACTGCATAGGACTAATATGCTGGAGTGTACACCTGTAGCTACCCCTATGCAATCTACCTGCAAGCTTACAAAGGTGGGCTCACCTCCACTGACTGATCCTTTTATGTACAGGTCAGTGGTTGGTGCTTTGCAATATGCCACCCTCACTAGGCCAGATATAGCCTATGCTGTGAACAAGGTGTGTCAATTTATGGCACAGCCTCTTGAAGCTCATTGGGTGGCTGTCAAAAGAATTTTGAGGTACCTCAAAGGTACCATCTCCCATGGCCTGCATCTGACTGCTCTTACACCCTCTACTTCACCTACTATTAAGCTGTTCTGTGATGCTGACTGGGCCTCTGACCCAGATGATAGAAGAAGTACCTCTGGTGCTGCAATCTTTTTTGGCTCTAACTTGGTCTCCTGGTGGTCCAAAAAGCAACATGTAGTAGCTAGGTCCAGCACTGAATCTGAATTCAGAAGCATGGCTCATGCTGCAGCTGATTTGCTGTGGATTCAAACCCTTCTTCAGGAACTATTCATCTCTTGCAAGACTCCCCAGATTTTCTGTGATAACCAGTCTGCAGTTCTTCTGGCACATAATCCTATTATGCATACTAAGACCAAGCACATGGAGATTGACCTCTTCTTTGTCAGAGAAAAGGTGCTTAGCAAACAATTACAAGTTGTGCACATCCCAGGCACGGATCAGTGGGCTGATGTGCTCACTAAACCATTAGCTTCCACTGCTTTTTTGACTCTTAGGCACAAACTCAGAGTAGTTGCCTCCTCCTGAGTTTGTGGGGGGGGTATTAGAGAAGATATTGCTGTATAGTAGAAAACTGCCACCTGGCAGTTTCCACCTCTTGGTTACCTGCTGTAACCGGTGCCCTGTTCCTATATAAACAGGTGTCACCTCTTTGTAATCTGTGTGAAAGCTTTTATGAATAACGGAAAGTAGTTACAGATGGAAACAAACTTTCTCTACTCTCTCTATCTTTCTAACATCATACAAACATATATTGTTAAAATACTTTCAATGTAATAATCAAGTAAACAATTAGTAAGGTTTTTGTTTGAGGACTAACCTTGGCATCTTCAATTCTCTATGAAGTTTCTCGAGTCGGCTAATTCTCTCTTCAAGTTTCGCTATGCTCGCATCAGATAAATAGCTATAGCTCCCACCTTGAGTCTCTGGTTCGCATATTCTCTCACTTGACAACCCAGCTTCTTTGCTTTCATTTGCATCTTTAAACTCACCATCTTCCAGCACAGTCTTAAAAACTTCAACAGATATTAAAGGAATCAGAGTGTTATGTTCTTGTGGTAGACTTGAAGTAGCATCAGCATCGGCATCAAATTTCTCAGATTCCAGACCATCTTTAAGAGAATTTCCATCTTGAAGCTTATCATCTTCCGACACAGTCTTACAATCCTCAACAGCAGATATCAAAGGAGTCAAAGTGTTATGTTCTGGTGGTAGACTTGATGGAGCATCAGCATTTTTCTCATCTTTCAAACCATCTTCAGCAGAATTTTCAGATGACATGGTTTTCAAAACTTTAGGAACATCATCGTCAACAAGTTTAGGAGGGGGAAACAAAGCAGAATGATCAGGTCTAAATATCAATAACCTCGCACTTCTCTTACGCCGCACAACGTTCTTATTGAAACCCTGAAGACCCAATATTGATTTTTTCCACCACTTTGCATAACGCGTGGTAACATCAGCCTCAAAAAATCTAGATGGAAAATATAAACTTGTATCCGATGAGGTTCTGGTGTAATTTTTCCAAGCAAGCTCTTTAGTCTCATTGAATCTAGACACATAGCCAGGAACATCTTGATCCATTCCAAATTGCATAGCAACTCTATGTGGTAGATATTGCTCTATACATTCAATTCCAACAAGCTCAGAAGCTCTCAAGCATAGAACAAATGAGAGCATTTTTTTATCCAAAACTTCCATAAATGGTACCAAAATTTCATCATTTGGATAAAACATTCCACACTTATCAGCATATCTAACATATGGACGCCAAAGAAAATCATCTATAGCTGATTCCAATGCGAATCTCACATTGTCAATTTTCAAAGCCCTAACCATATGCCACCTCGACAACACATGGTGTTCATTGTCGATCAAGTTAGGTTGTGGTTGCAAATTTTTGAACCTCTCCCACACCCAAACTTGAACCAAGTAAAATGGTGATTGTACATCAACCTCCAACACCAAAGGAAGTTCAACACCTCGTAATAAACATTTCTTAAAACCTACAATTATTTCCTTAAACAAAGTCAAATCGTTATATAAGCTAGCCAAAACAGCAGGTGCCAAAGCAATAGGATTCCCTCTAGCAAGATGAATAGCAATAGGAAACAAACAACTTTTCACTAGGTTGTATTTGTGAGGAAAAACAAAAATTGACAACCAAGTAACAAGAAATGCTTCATGCTCAATTTCACTCCCTTTATTAATGAAAATATTCATCCAGACAGATGTTGAAGGAGCCATACGTTTTATAATCCTCTCCTGTCTTTCAATGTGTTGGAGCTTCTTTTCCACCTCTCTCATTTCTGGATCTTCAAGTGGTGTAAAAACAGGTTCGCCAAGAATAGAGTAACCACCCAAAACCATAACATCCTCCAAAGTGAGAGTTGCTTCACCAAAGGGAAACACAAAGGTATTTGTCTGACAACACCATTTCTCAGCAACCCCATAAAGCAAGTCTTGATTTTTAGTAATGCGGCTCTTAGTACTCATTATAGGTTCAAAGATTCCAGCTTTTCTCCAAACTGATTCATACTTGGGCTTAAGTTGATCAACCCACTTAACCCATTTTGTCTGTGGATAGCGCCAGCCATTGAAGTTGATTTTCAAAGGGCACCCGTTTGGTTCGGAAACAGATGATGAAGATGAAGGGTTAAGGCTAAACTCGTGAGTGGAGTTTTCAATAGGTTTGAGAAAATGCGCAGTTCTGAAAGTTGGTTCACTATCACCAGCAGGTGAAAGCATGAAATCTTGCCTCACTTCCATGAAGGTATAGTATTTTTGAAATGGGGTTGAAACTTAAGGAACAAGGAGTCTTATAGAAATTTTGCAGGTAAGGTACACACAGTGGCAGTGCTGCGCTAAAATTGGTATAATAGCATGCATGCTTTTCAAAACTTCCACTCACGAAAACCAAATTGTCCTAATATGAGAAACGGATTTGCACGGAAAAGGGCCCACACAAAAATAAAAGGATTTCACTCTCTTTGTCTTATTAATGATTTTGTGTCATTATGTTAATAGTCTAGTATTTCTCAACATGAGAATCATAACTTAAGATCAAGGATTCTCCAAATATTAATTATTTTGTATTATCAATCTAAACATTAATAATTATTTTCCTATTTTATTATTTTCTTTTAGTTTTGTTTTTAAAAGAATTAAAAATAGAAAATAATAAAATTATTATGAAATATAGTTGAGTCTAACTCATTCCTACAAAATTGATTTGCAGAATAAGGAGTGTCCTCACTTACAAGAACATGGTCAGGTCATATATTGACCCTATTTATATTACAGTTTGGTTGGTAAAGAAATTAATTTTGTATGAAAAATAGTTATATGACATTTTGAAAATTTTGCATGAAAATTATAGGAAAATGCTAATCCCACCCTATAGGGTTTGTCCCACACTTTTAGAAACTCGAAAATGTTTTTCTTGTTTTCAGAAATACATCTCTGAAATACACACCGAAGTCATTTAAAGATTTATTTCGGAGATGCATCTCCAGAAATTCCACTAATGCTTTCAAGGCCGCAAAATTGTTTCAACTAAAGGAAATAACTCTAAGAGCTATCTTCCACTTTTAACAATAAACTCTACTCGTGAGTATCTGCAAGATGTCCATGGTGGACAAATTAAAACAAATGGGGTGAGATTACATTCAAATAATATATAATGCACAAAAAAATCAAGATAGATTCGTACATTATAAAGTCATAAAAAATTCAACATGTATCTCGATATCATGTATTAACATCTCACCCATATCTCAATCAAACTCATACAAACCATACACGATTGCTTATAAATACACACACATTTCATCATCATGTAATGCAATGCAACCACGACTCAACTCATGCTCATCACGGTCCCCACTCTAAATGGACTAAAAACTCAACTTTATATGCATGCAGTACCGACTCAACATTTGGTTCTTCATACGAACTGAGTCCCAATCAACTGCGAACTCTGAGTCCCTCATCACCTCCAAGCCCACCACCGATCTTGGGACAAGTCACAAGTCCCCTCACCTAGAATTATAACCCACCTCTTTCACCAACAACAACATAAGATGCATGAATGAATGAATGAATGCATCATCACAACAACTCAACAATATATAACGATATCACTTGAAATTGTATAATTCCTGCACAACAACAACATGAAAGTTTCCACACTGAAACTATAAGTCTCAATTCAAACATGTTATCAACACATGACAATCACACTACCTACAACCATGTCAGCCCATTATAACATTAACTCATCATTGCAAAAATTCAACGGTCCGCTACATAATTCATACACATCATATCATAAATCACAACAGTAAGCACATGATTACAACTAAATTATTTATCTAAGCACTACCATGATGTAGTTTTGAGTGTTAGCTTTCTAACACTTTGAACTAAAACTCATTTGGACTTACGGATAAAAAATTATGTCATTATTAGTTTTACTTCAAAATAATTTGATGCCAGCCTGCAGTAATCGATTACCAATACGTGGTAATCGATTATCGCACCCTAGGTCCAAGGAGAGTACCAGACCAAGAACGATAGCCTCATTGAATACCTAAACCTGGTCAAAGAGAGGATGAAGAGGTTCGCCCGTGCGGAGATCAAACATATATTCCGCAAACAGAACACTCGGGCCGACATACTTTCAAAACTCGCGAGCACAAAGAAGAAATGTGGAAACATATCTGTCATCCAGGAGCCCCTTTCTCGTCCAAGCATTGAAAAATACACAACGTCACCCGAGGTGAATGTCATTGGGGATAATACGTGTTGGATGGCCATAGTGTTCAATCATCTCACCAAAGGGGAATTACCTGCTGACCAATAAGAGGCCAATGCAACCAAACGTCGAGCTTGCTCGAACGTGATGGTCGAGCAAAAGCTTTATAGACGGGGATTATCTATCCCACTCTTGAAATGTGTCGATGAGTCTAAAGTTCCCCATAATTTGCGAGAATTCTACGAAGGAATCAACACCCAACACTTGGGCGGAAGATCCCTGGCACGAAAGGCGCTGGGAGCAGGGTATAACTGGCCCACAATGCAACACGATACGAAGGAGCACGTAAAAAATGCGACAAATGTCAGTGACATACAGACATGCACCTAGCGCCCCCTCATGAGCTCAAAACATTATTGTCACCATGGTTGTTCGCCTGGTGGGGATGGACATCCTCAGACCTTTCACCCAAGGATCATACCAAAACAAATTCCTTATTGTTGCGGTCGACTATTTCCCAAAATGGATAGGGGCCGAAGCCCTCTCCAAAATCACATCGCACAACATACTTTGTTTCTACAAAAGAAACACACTTACCCGGTTCAGAATACCACAAGAGCTCCTTACCGACAACGGGACGCAGTTCACCAACCAAACCTTTCGATATTTCATCGCCAAGCTCTGTACCAAACAAAACTTCACATTAGTCAAACACTCTCAAACGAACGGGCAAGCTGAAGCAGCGAACATAGTCATATTGCAAGGACTCAAATGCAGGCTAGATGAAGCCAAAAAGAGGTGGGTAGAAGAGTTGCACATCGTACTATGGGCCTACAGGACGACACCATACTCGATAATCGGGGAAACTCCTTTCTGACTAACTTACAGTACCGAGGAAGTCATCCCTGTGGAAATCATGGAACCATCTAGGCGAACCGAATTCCCCCTCGAATAAGAACTAAATGACGAGGTCCTGAGGGAAGACCTCGACCTGGTCGAAGAGATTCGATCGGGGGAATGTCTTCGCGAGGCCATGTTAAAACAACGAATAACTATGCGACATGACATTAAAGTCATAAAACACGAATTCCAAGTCGACACTCTAGTCTTACGGAGAATTCAGAAAGATTCTCGTGAAGGAAAGCTAGCCGCCAACTGGGAAGGCCCTTATCGTGTCCGTGAGACGACGAGCAATAGGGTGTATTACCTCAAATACCTAAGTGGAGAACAATTACCTCAACCATAGAATGCTATAAAGCTAAAACAATATTACAACTAAGTCCTAAATAAACACCAGGGCCTAGCAGTCGACGTACCCTCTCTGACAAATGACGATGCTCGCTTGATTGTGGAAGCATGTTGAGGTACGAATATAGCCTCTAATTAATAACAAAAGGCATGTCTTCGTTGATTGGACGAGCGAAACCTTAGCCTGGCGAGGACACCTCGACCGAGCTCCGCTATCAAAGTACCAAACCGGCAGAACACCCAGCTCGCGATGGGGCAGTTCACGCCACAAAGTCAAGGTCTCGACCGCGACCTTGACCTCGTCCGAGCGGAGTCCAAATCTGCCTCCTCGATGCGTCTCCATACGTGTCGACTATAAATAAGGTCGATCACAAATTTCCACACTTCACAAAATAAACATGTCAAGCACAATGACATAATATCTAAATACAAAATATACGAGCAAAGTAAAAACATTCAAAGGCCGACCACGAAGGACGGTGTTGTCTATACATTAAAAAAAAGGGGCACGCTGGCCCAAACTAAAGGCAAATATACAAAAAATAGGCATAGCCCTTGTTGAAAACATTAACAAAATTTTGGCGCGCATGCTAGGTAAACATACGTGCACGCAGACCCAAAACTCCGCTAGTCTTCACACACATCCTCCTCACCATCTGCTTCCTCTTCAGGATTATCGTTAGGAGGATAAATCATCTTCCCATCGACCACTTGGTTGAAAGGCCCAGTTCCTTCGATCATGAGCTCGACCCCACTGTTGATAATTTTGAGCTGCTCCACGATGGTGTTAAAGCCATAACCAAGGGTATCCATGACATCCTGCTCAATCAGGCGAATCTGGGAAATCAGCTATTTCCTAGTCTGAAGGGCCTTCTCCGTGTTAGTTTTCTCATTAGCAGGCGCCACAATCCCCTCCAAATCCTTTACCTGGGCGGACAATCGTTCGTTTTCCTTGGTCTTGGTATCCATTTGCGGTTTTAGCTCGTTCAACTCCTTGAGGATCTCTACTTGGGCCTCATGCTTCATCTGATGATTGATAATATCATTCTTTAGCTTTTCATTATGCCCATTCAGCTTGGCGATTCAGGCATTTGCTTTGTTGAGAGCGGCCTGTGAGCATGTCGCTGCGTCATTTAGGGTCAAATCAGTCTCAAGAACCTTTAGTACAGCAGCCACGTCCTCAGATAGGTTTTTTCGCCGGGTCTCCTTGTCCATAGACAGAATAGATTCCCCCTCCCATTCGTGAGATAGGTTTTTCCACAGACCTAAAGAATTGTCCCCACCAAAGATACCACGGTTGAGATAATAGGGGCAAGACAAAGGTCTCCCTAACATTCTTACCCTTATCTGCAATAACCACACGTTCAGGATCTTCCCCATGCTTCCTTTTTAGGGGTTGTTCAGGGGGAGAAAGCTGGTCACCTTGAGGAGAAGAGGAACCAATGGGATGGGCATTAACCTTAGCATGTTCCCGAGTCTCAGAAGCACCTCCTTTGGGAAAAGTTTTTACACCCTTGGGTCTTAACTTGAGCACACGTTTCGGCATAGTCGCCATCCTACCTACAATTCAAAAAGGAAGCAGTTAGTCTACGAAACAAAACAAACAAATATAAACTATGGTCGCACTCCCTATCTAGGAGTCTCAAAGACTCCTCGTCAGAAGAACATTTGAGGAGCGCTTTTGTGTTTATCAATCGGGAAACATAGATATGCTCCCTATCATCATCAAAAATAAAGTTGTTGTCTGAGTCTAGACATTTAGCAG